AATTAATATTTGACAAAGGAGGCATGAAAATACAATGGAGTTAAAACAATCTCTTCAATAAATGGTGTTGGAAAATTGGACAGATACATGCAAAAAAATGAAACTAGACCACCAACTTACACCATACACACACACACACACAAAAAAACAAACAAACCTCAAAATGAACAAAGGACTTAAATGTATGATCGAAAACCATAAAAATATTACAGGAATCAACAGGCAGCAAAGTCTCAGACATATGCCAAAGCAATTTCTTCACAAAAACAGCTAGAGCAATGGAAACTAAAGAGAAAATAAACAAATGGGACTAAAATTAAAAGCTTTTGCACAGCAAGAGAATCCATCATCATAACCACAAGAAAACCCACTGCATGGGAAAACACATTTGTTAGTGTTATCTCAGATAAGGGTTTAATCTTCAACATTTACAGGGAACTCATACACCTTAAAAAATGGAAGATAAACAACCAGATAAAAAAATGGACAAGGTACATAAGTAGATACTTTTCAAAGGAAGACATAGGAAGGCCAAGAAACAGGAAAACATGTATGATGGAAAGTCACTAATCACCTGAGAGATGCAAATCAAAATGACATTGAGGTACCATCTCACATCTGTCAGAATGGCTGTTGTCAACAAATCAACAAATGACAAGTGCTGGAGAGGATGTAGAGAAAAAGGAACCCTCATGCACTGCTGGTGGGTAGCCACTGAAAGACAGTATGGAATTTCCTCAAAAAGTTAAAAATGAAACTCCCATTTGACCCAGTGATCCCACTTCTAGGAATATATCCCAAGAAACAAGAAAGACCAATTAGCAAGGATATATGCACCCCTATGTTCATAGAAGCACAATTTATCATAGCTAAGATTTGGAAACAGCCTAAGTCCTCATCAACAGCTGAGTGGATTAAAAACTATAGTAAAAGGAGAACCAGGATGGTGGCATAGGTAAACACCCGAACTTACTGTCTCACACAACCACATCAAAACTACAAGTAAAAGACAAAATATCCACAACCACGGAAGGCTGGCTGAGAGGAAGTTCTACAAGAAGAGAAAAGCACATCTAGACTCGTAGGAGGTGCTTAAGTGCCGAAGAGAGGAGGTATGGAGGTGCACACAGAAATGGGCTGGAAACTGAGTATGATGTGGTCTTTTTCAATGCAGAGGGAGATAGAAGCTCCTGACTGCTCTGAATTCCAGTACCAGGTGAGACTCTGAGGTCCTAGACTCATTTGGGGAGAAACTGGACTGTCTGGCATTGGGGCGGAACATGAAGGTGGCTTTCTCTCAGAGGTGGTTGCAGTGTTCATTGTTCTTTTATGGGGCCCAGGGACACAGAGACTCGAGGGACTCTTTGGGGCAGGGCAGACTGGAAGCCATTGCTGTTTGCTCTGTCCTCTGATTCCAAGAGGACAGAGCAAGCAGCAATGGCTTCCAGTCTGCCCTGGAAGCCATTGCTGTTCATTCCATGCCCCACTCAATTTACAACCCCACCAAAGCTGAGCATTGAGGTGTTTGCATATGAATGGCCTGGCCTTTTGCAACCTAAACTAACAAACTGCTGCTGGGTCAAAGAACTACAGAGCTTCCCAAAGTCTGCCTAAGGCCCATCAGCAGCCTTCATTGCTTCACTGCTATGCCTCATCTGGGCACCTCCAAACCCCAAACACAGAGGAGGAACCTGCAGATCTCTTCGTAGCTCCTGCTGGGTGGCCTCAAACAGGGGTTGACTTACCACCTCCTTGGATATCCAAGAGGAAGTGCACCCAGTGATCAAAGTAATACCACACCAGATTACAACTCTTCAGACCCATAAGACACACACTCGAGGGGAAAAGTCAGTGAGCATCAAAGCCCCACAGAAGCAAGTCCTGCCCATAAGGGTGTCTCCAAAACAGCAGTTCTCCCATTGTAGACACAACTGGTCTTCATAGCCAATTGGCTTGGAGGTCAATTCTGTCCAGTTATATCAACAGCAATCAAGGCTTAACTACAACACTGTGTATACAACTGACAAAGGGGTGCATCAAGAGCGTCCACCTCAGGTGACTGGAGAGACTGAGCAACTGGGTCCAATAGGACACCTAGCATACAATGCAACCCTATCAACACAAGTCAAGCAGCCAAAATGCAGAGACAAAGAAACAGGTAACAATTGAAAGAAATAGAGGAAAGAAAATTGGATATAGATTTCAAACCACAGTTACTGAGATTTAGTGAGATCTTCAAGAATATGAAAAAGGACAAATTAGAATTTAAGCATATACTTATTGAAATAAAGGATAATATACAGAGATCCAACAACAGACTAGAGGACCACAAGATTTGAAATACAAAGAAGCAAAAAACATCCAACTTGAAAACCAAAAAGAAAAAGAAATACAAAAATATGAAGATAGTGTAAGGAGCCTCTGGGACAACTTCAAGTGTACCAACATCTGAATTATAGGGGTACCAGAAGAAGAGAGAAAACAAGATATTGAAACCTATTTGAAGAAATAATGACAGAAAACTTCCCCTACCTAGGAATGCCAAGAGTAAAAGACAAAGAGAATATTAAAAGCAGCAAGAGATAAACAGTTACCTACAAGGGAGTACCCATAGGACTGTCAGCTGATTTCTCAATAGAAGCTATGCATGCCAGAAGGGGGTGCCAAGAAATATTCAAAGTGATGAATAGCAAGAACTTAAAACCAAGATTATTCTACCCAGCAAAGCTATCATTTAGAATTGAAGGTCAGATAAAGAGCTTCACAGATAAGAACAACTAAAGGAGTTCATCACTGTCAAACCAATATTATATGAAATGCTGGAGGGTATTCTTTAAGAAGAGAAGAAGAAAAAGGTAAAGATAAAAATTATGAACAACAAATGAAAGAAGTGCCAACAAATGCATATCTATAAACAAGTGAATCTAAAACTTCAGTGAAAAAAATATAAACAGAATAAACTGGTGACTATAATAGAATCAGGGGCATAGAAAGGGAGTGGACTGACAATTCTCAGGGGGAAGGGGGTGTAGGGGGTACAGGGAGAAACTGGGCAAAAATTGAACAAGTAGCTGAAACTGGTTTGCTCAGTGGATAGAGCACCGGCCTGCGGACTGAAAGGTCCCAGGTTCGATTCCAGTCAAGGGCATGCACATTGGTTGTGGGCCTGTCCCCGGTAGCGGGTGTGCAGGAGGCAGCTGGTCGATGTTTCTCTCTCATCGATATTTCTAGCTCTCTGTCCCTCTCTGTAAAAAATCAATAAAATGTATTTTTTTTTAATTGAACATATATGGACGAGGACATTGGGGGAGGGGTTAAAGCATGAGAGGGGGCGGGGGGGAACCGGTGGAGGGGAGCTATGGGGAGAAAAAAGAGGAACAACTGTAAAAACCTGAATAAAGACTTAAAAAAAAAAACTGTTGTACATCTACACAGTGGAATACTACGCTACTTTAAAAAGGAAGGAAGTGCCCTAACTGGTTTGGCTCAGTGATACAAAGGTCTCAGGTTTGATTTCGGTCAGGGGCATGTACCTTGGTTGCGGGCACATCCATGATGGGAGGTGTGCAGGAGGCAGTTGATTGATGTTTCTCTCCCATCCATGTTTCTAACTCTATTCCTTTCCCTTTCTCTTTATAAAAAAATCAATAAAATGTTTTAAAAAATTAAAAGGAAGGAACTATCATTTGCAATAGCATGGATGGTCCTGGAGAGCATTATGCTAAGCAAAATAAGCCAGTCAGAAAAAGATAAATATCACATCATCTCACTCATTTGTGCAATATAATGAACAATATAAACTAATTAACAAAAACAGACCTAGAGACAGAGGAGCGAGCATTGATCAGATGCTCAAACCTCAGAGGGATGATAGGGTAGGATGGAGATAAAGGGGAGAGATCAACCAAAGGGCTTGTATACCTTCATATAAGCCTAACCAATGGTCACAGACACTAGTGGGGTGAGGGCATGAGTTGGTATGGGGGTGGGAGTTAATGGGGTGATAAGGACACATGTAATATCTTAATCAATAAAAAAGTAAAAAATATACATTAATATAAATGTATATTTATAATGTATAAATATTAATATTTATACAGTAATATAAATATTAGTCCCTCCCTATCTTGTACTTTGAACGGACCTTTTATTCACATTTGATTTTGAATCATCATGCATCGGTCATTTGGAAAATATTTATTTACTGAGTTATGCAGACCTTGCAGATGTTGACACATTTCATTATACAATATCAAAAAAATCACATTCATTACTATCACCACTTATTTCAACAGCAGTATTTAAGAATTACAAGCTGTCCTCATGCTCACAATAGCAGAAATATTTTCCAAAATAGTAATTTTTGCATGAAACCAGAGTTTGTTTCCCTTGAAAATGATGGTTTTCGTTTTTGAGAAAATGTCTATTATGTACTCAAGTGTGAATAACTATTGTTTGTCTAACTTTATCTCTTTGTGCTTTGGCCTTCCCCCCCTCCCCCCCACCTCCCACTGAGTAAAGACTTTCACTTCACTTCATTTGCTGTCTTTTTGCTGCCACCTTTACTATTTGCAGCTTTTCCTCCACTTTTCAACTTTCTTGTCTCTTGTTACTTTTTGATTTCACTCAGAAAGCCCAAATTTTTATAAATATCAGCTAATCAGAGTGGTTCAGGTTGGCAAATCAACCAAACACAGTGTATAGGGCCTTTTTTTTTTTTTTTTTTTTTGAGTATTTAATTCTCTGCTGTGTTTGTTTTTTACTATTCAAAGTGTTTACCAATCAGAACAGTTCTTGATCCTTGTGAACACCAGAAGGCTAGTCTTTGGATAAATGAGGTTTTACTGTACCGTTAAGGTAATTGTGATTTGTAGTTGTGATTTTGGTCAATGTACAATTCATTTTTTTATCATTATTTATACACATACTGAGGATCTCTTTTTAAAATTCTCATCTCCCTGAACTTCTGTTTTTTAAATTCTCATCTTTCTTCTACAAAGAATGAAAAAATAATAGAACAACAACTTCTTCTGGATCACCTGAGTGGAGAACCAACAAAACTTAACCTGTCAATGACTTCTTCAGCTAAGGAAATTTGTGGAGATGGCCCAGATGCCAGGATACCAGAAAAGAGACCATATACTGTACCCTTTGATGCTCGTTTGGGACGTTATATTTATATCCCAGAAAGATCAGATGCCAGGAAGGTAAAGTCTAAACAATAATCTCTTACATTTAAGATCTTAAAAATATTATATGTAATAAAATATCACAGTGTATTTGTACAGTCTCAGCACGTAGTTTGGTTTCTGTTTAGTTTTAATAGACTTGTGTATATTCTCTTACGTTTAAGCATATAATGCTTTTTAATAAAAAATAGGACAGTAGTTATATTTAGAAAGAATATTTGAAGGTAATATCTACATTCATCAAGGAGAAAAAGCTATCCTTTGCCATCATATTTTTAGTCATGATTAGAAAGTCTGATATCTTCATGAATTTTTTTCTTTCTTTAACCACACCAAGTTGAGATGAGTTTGGAGGGTATTTTTATTTACTTATTTGGTTTGTCTTACTATTTTTAAAATGACATTTATGTATTACTCAATCTTGCCAAGCTGACATTTCAAGATTGTATAAAGATCTGCATGAACTTTTAAAAAATATATTTTTTTAATTTTAGAGAGTAAGAGAGAGGGAGAGAAAGATAGATCAATGATGAGAGAAAATCATTGATAGACTGCCTCCTACTGAAGATCAAGCCCACAACTCGGCATAAGCCTTAACTGTGAATCAAATTGTGACCTCCTGGTTCATATAGGTCAATGCTCAACCACAGAGCAACATCAGCTGGGCTGAACTTTTGTTTTGTTTTTAATTATGAATATGTGTGTAGTAAATATATGCGCACACATTTCTCTTTAAAAAATCAAATTATCCCTACGTGGAAAAGACTAGCAGACTCATGAATTTGGCTACTGTTATTTTTATGGAGATGATTTGTTTGAGATCTTTGTGATTATAGTCAAAGGGATAAGAAATATGCTAGGTATCATAGACTTTGCAATCAGGCAGGTTTGGGGTGAACACTAGCTCTATTGTATAGGCATGCATATGACTAAACCTGTGGGATCCCCAGGTTCCTTATATGTCAGAATGGTATGTGTGGAGGATTTACATGAGATGATGACTCTGAAATTGCCTAGTACGTTGGCAAACTCATTCATTAACAGAGCCAAATATCATCAGTACAATGATTGAAATTTCTTTTGAGAGCCAAATTTTTAAAACTTAAACTTCTTCTAATGTCACTTCTTCAAAATAGACTTGCCCAGACTGTGGTATTTTATGGAAAAGCCATACTCAAGGGGCCAAAGAGCCGCATGTTGCTCGTGAGCCACAGTTTGCCGACCACAGGCCTACTACATTGTGTCCTCAATAGATGTCCATGGTGCCTTCACTGCCCAATAGATATAGTGCCTTCGCTATATCCCAGGTTCACTACCTCAGAGTGATTAAGACAGACGTTATTCTCTATGGTTTTCAATTTTGAGTAATTGAATTAAAAAATGAAATCATTGTTATTATTAATTTCAGTTTTACTTTGTAGAATCATCAACATTTTCCTTATGGTTGAATATATAATTCCTTTTTATAAAACATTTAGGAAGAAAGGTAAATTCACATAATTCATGCTGTTTGTTATTTCAGTTTAATACTTACATATTAAGTCATCTATATTTAATTTTCTGTTTTTAAAAAATATATTTTACTGATTTTTTTACAGAGAGAAAGGGAGAGAGATAGAGAGCTAGAAACATCGATGAGAGAGAAACATCAACCAGCTGCCTCCTGCACATATCCTACTGGGGATGTGTCCGTAACCAAGGTACATGCCCTTGACCGGAATCAAACCTGGGACCTTTCAGTCCGAAGACCGACGCTCTACCACTGAGCCAAATCTGTTTCGACTAATTTTCTGTTTTTTATATTGGTTAGTTATGTGAAAGTATTTCTGGTTCTATTTTTTTATTTTTTAAAAATAACATTTGCATTTGTTTTTTTTATTACAGAATTTATATGTACTTATTCTCCCCCTCTCTTGGTCTCTGTTTTTTATTTTATTTTATTTATTTATTTGTAAAGTATATTTTTATGGATTTGAGAGAGAGAAGAAAAGAGAGGGTAGAGAGATAGAAACATTGATGAGAGAGTGACATTGGTTATCTGCCTTCTGCATGTGCCCTGATTGGGAATTAAATCAGTGACCTCATAGTTCATGGATTGACCCTCAACCATTGAGCTGCACCAACCAGGATAGGGGCACACATATCTTTGCAAATAGTATACAGGTAAATAAAAGTACTAATATTATGTACTAAATTAATACAAAAAAAGAAAAAATTATTTGTCTCAATAAATACCAAAAATTGATCTGATGAAATGCAAAATTGAATCTTGATTTCAACTTAAAATGTAATAGAGATTTCTAACTTTTTAAATATTGAAATATGATATAATTAAAACCAAAAGCTAATGTTATACATACTAAAAAGGCACTTTGGAAAAAAATAAATTAGAGAGGTGGTCCTAGTCATTCGGTTTAGTATAAAAACACAAATGCTGATGAAAACCTACCATAATTCATTGATTATAAGATTTAAACTATCTGCCGGGACCGGTTTGGCTCAATGGATAGAGCGTCGGCTTGGGGACTGAAGGGTCCCGGGTTCGATTCCGTACCTTGGTTGCGGGCATATCCCCGGTGGGGGGTGTGCAAGAAGCAGCTGATCGATGACTCTCTCTCATCGATGTTTCTAACTCTGTATCTCTCTCCCTTCCTCTCTGTACAAAATCAATAAAATATATTTAAAAAAAAAAAAGATTTAAACTATCACATTTTATCATCTTTGGTGGCAGGATAGCTTTATGGTGATGGTTTGACAGTTTTTTATGTCATAATTTGAAAGTTATTTTTTCTTCTTGGTGCTATAAAAGTAATGGTGTTGCTGGCATTTTAGATTTGATGAAATGTGGTATCATGAAAAGGAAATAAGGCAATATGTATATAATACCACTTTCAGTATTTGACGTAATTGTATACTAAGAAAACCAACTGAAATATTCTTAAGAGATATATTTAAAAACCTTCTGGAATATCCAGATTCACAAAAGTAGAATAACTTGTAAAATCGCAATTTTTTTTTTTCACCCAGAAGGCATTACATTTAAATTTTTTTAAAATAAATTTTTATTGTTGATATTATTAAAAATGTTCCTCCCCCCCCACCATTGCTCTCCTCCACCAGGTTCCCACCCCACCCTCTGCCCTTTCCCCACTCCCCATTGTCCTCATCCATAGGTGTACAGTTTATGTTCAGTCTCTTCCCACATCCCCCTCTCCCCTTTTCCCCAAGAATCGTCAGTTCACTCCCCTTCCATACCTCTGACTCTGTTATATTCAACCGTTAATATTGTTCATCAGATTTTTTTAAATTTCCTTGGTTTTTGGATTCGCTTGTTGATAGTTACGTATTTGTTGTTCATAATTTTTATCTTTATTTACTTTCTCTTCTGAAAGAACCCCCTTCAGCAATTCATATAATTCTGGTTTGGTGTTGATGAACTCCTTTAGCTTTTTTTTTTTTTATTAGTGAAGCTCTTTATCTGGCCTTCGATTCTGAGTGATAGCTTTGCTGGATAGATTATCTTTGGCTGTAGATTCTTACTATTCATCACCTTGAATATTTCTTGCCATTCCCATCTGGCCTGCATGGTTTCTGTTGAGAAGTCAGCTGACAATCGTATAGGTGCTCCTTTATAGGTAACTCCCTTCTTTGCTCTTGCTGCTTTTAATATTCTTTTTTTGTCTTTTGCTCTTGGAATTTTAATTATGATGTGTCTTGGTGTGGTCCTCTTTGGATTTTTTTGTTTGGAGTGCGCTTCCTGGACTTATAAGTCTAATTCTTTCACCAGGTGGGGGAAGTTTTCTGTCACTATTTCTTTCAGTATGTTTTCGATATCTTGCTCTCTCTCATCTTCTGGGACCCCCATAATTCTGATGTTGGTTCGCTTGAAGTTGTCCCAGAGGTTTCTTACATTATCTTCAATTTTCTGGATTCTCTTGCCTTCTAGCTTCTGTAGAGGGGTGTCTTCTGGCTCTTTATGCTCCAAATCTTTGACTTGATTCTTGCAATCTTCCATTCTGTTTTTAGGACTCTGTATAATATTTTTTATTTCAGACAATGTATTCTTTATTTCTTGTTGATCCCTTATCATTTCTTGTTGACTCCTTATTAATTCTAGTTTATCTGTTTTCATATCCGCATAGGTCTTATCCATCTTTTCTAGGAAATTCTTGAAAAACCTTATAAGCGTAGATTTGAACTCTATATGCAGCCCCTTTTTGTCCTCCATTTCTTTCATTTGTGATCTATTTCATTGTCGCATTTCGCAGCTACAGATGGGGCGGAGTTTCAGAGTTGAGCCTGCAGCCTTGGCTTCCGTCAGCCCCACCCTATGCGGGTCCTTCAGTGCTCGCTGCCTGCGCCTCTGAGAGAAAGGTGCCCTCGATTTTCGCCTGCTGCCAAACAGTCAATGCTCTCCCCCAATGAGCCCGGTATTGGGGTTCAGTTCAGTTGGAAGTGGAGTTGGAGGTGGCGTTCAGAGCAGACTGGCGCCCCAGTCTCCTTCCCGCCAGGCAGTCCCGCGGCACAGCCAACCGTCCCTTCTCTGCGCGCACTGTGCACGCCGCCGGGATCCCCTTTCGCCGCTCCTCCGGGTACCGCCTCGTAGCCCACCTCCCTATGGATGAGCCTGGGTCCCCGGGGTCTGGCCTAGGCCTGGGGTTCAGAGCAGTCAGAATGGGGCCCAGCACAGTCAGAGTTTTATCTCCTTCCCGCTAGGGAATGCCCTCCAGGCACTCCACCTCCCCCTCCTCTCCCGCTCCGTCCTCTCCGCGCGCCGCGTGTCTCCGTACCTTGGGCTTTTCCAGCTCCTCCGCGCTTCCTTCTGGTTTACTCTTTGCTTCTTGTTGTAGAATTTCCAGTCAGTCGACTTTCCTGTAGTTCTGAGTAATGTCCGTTTTATATTTTACTTGTATTTTATTGAAATTGTTGCGTGTGGCTGCGACTAGGTGTTACCTGGGTGCAGCCATCTTGCTACTCTTGCTGCTTTTAATATTCTCTCTTTGTCTTTTGCTCTTGGA